GCATATATTGAGTTCATCACTGTCCCCACAGCGGCCAAAGCAAGTCACATGACCAGATTCAAGGGGTGGAGAAATTGCTAGGGAGAGGCAAATGTGATCAGTTTTGAGGATAAAATGAGACCATGTAAGTAAGGCACCTATTCGCTTATTAGTTTTGGGAGTATTCAAGAACTGTTTCGACAGTGAGTACGTCTGGTGTTTCAGTGATAAAAAGGTAGGAGCTGTAATTACTAACGATCGCTTAATTAAATATTCTGTATTGAGTAGTCATTTTTAATGTCCATGCAGTGTCCTGTCTCCATCTCTCCTTGCTATGCGGAGGCTGTGGTGTCGCAGTGGAGATTCAGTGAGGGAACAACGGTGACGTGTTTGCACAGAGCCGGGGGTGGGAGCACTATTATTATTATTGGCATAATGTTCTTGTCTCCACCTCCTCCCCTCACACAAAAAGGCAACCCAGACCGGATCATTTTTCCTTTTTGTTTTATTTTGACCCACATCTCACTTTGCAAACACCCTGAGGCTCAGAACTGTTGGTAGAGACCTCCCTCCAGGCTGTCCTTTCTTCTTGCTCCCCGGCTCCCCGAAGGCACCTCCTCCCACGGGTTTCATTTTCCTCTGTCTGCCAGTCTCACACCTGCCTAGGGGGCTGCTCCTGGCTGGAGCCAAGCTCCAGGGAGTTTTAAGGGGGACCCCAGGGCCACAAGAGCCCACCAAGTAAGGAAGGGCAGGTGGCTCATCTGTGACTCTAAATACCACAGCCCTCTGAGTGGGCGTTACTCCCAATATGTAAAAGAAGGAAGCTCCCCATGGGTCAGCCAGGTTGCATGGTGGTTAGGGCAGCTGGATCTTCTATGGCCGACTCCATGGTTTGAGTCCTAAGGTGTCCAAGAACTCCCAAGAGCAAGTCCAACGTGAAGTGCTTTTCCCTGTGACTTGAAAAACACGCCAGGCACATGTACGAGCCCAAAATCCCAAGAGGAGAGTGGAGGAGAAGGGATTGCCCTGTGACCATCCCTGGGGGGGTGATCTCTCATTTTCACTCTTTCTCTTTGTCTCTTTCCAGTGAGCACGTGAGCCTGACAGCAAGCAAACAACAAAAGGAGGACCCCCTCCACCTGTACCATCTCCAAACTTCCAGGGACCGCTGTCTGATTGAAGACCGTTCTCCTCAGACCTCCTGTGGAGCCAGCCCAGGCCTGTTGCCTCACACACGTTATCTTGTTCGTTCTCACAACAACCTCTTGAGGCTGGCAGGGGCAAACCCATTTTGCAGATGCAAGTATCAGAGAATTTAAGAAAATTTCCTTTGAGCTCTAAGTTCAAAGATGGAGCATAATGATTGGTGTGGGTGGAGATGGGGTTGGGGACAGCACAGAAGGTGGGCTGAGGCCACAACCCTGGCTTCGGCGCCTCATAGGGAGTGGAGAAAGAGCTTCACATCGAGAGCAGGGAGGTGGATTCAAGCACACCTCTAAAGACACAAAAGGGTTTTGAATTTTGCCATTAAGACAAAGTTCCTTTAACCCTCCAAGCCTCAGTTTTCTCACCTGTAAAGTGGGTTAGTCATGAGGGCCCTGAGGTGATAGGTATGAAGATATGTAGTCTAGAGCCAGGCCTGAGAGGAATGTGGGCCCGATAAATATGGCTTCCTGTCTGCCCTGGCTGGGACGGTACCTGTGCTGGCCCCGACAGCCAGCCTGGCCTCTCTCACTGGGCCTTCCCAGCACCTGTGTCCTCCTGTCAGAGGAGGCCAGAGCCCAGCCCCAGTAGAGGACCGTTCCTGATTGTTCCGACAGCCATGCTATTCCACACAATATCTAGTCTGCCTTCTCCTGTAAATATTGATGGAGGCTCCAGACAGAGAAGAACAAAAAAACAAAGGACATTTTATTTATGATAGGAAAAGAAACCAACAGAAGAAAATTCTACAGGCCCAACAGGAGGGGGGGAGGAATGTTTAAATAAACCGTGGTACCATCACTCGATGGAATATTGTGCTATTGAAATGATGTTTACCGAGGGTTTGTAATAACACAGGGAAATGCTTATTCTAAAATGCTAAGTGAAAAAAAAAGCAGCAACAGAATTGTATATTCAGCATAATCACACCTCGGCAAAACCCAAGCCAAACAAAAACTACATGCGGAAGGGACCAGAGGGGCATGCACCACAGTGGGGGACATCTACAGGGGGCAAAGTGGAGGAGATTTTTTTTTTATACTATTCTCATTTTCCATTTTTTTTTTTTTCTATAACGGGCATGGTTTGCTTACAGTGGAAAGCAACTCAAACATTTCTTCTTTTTTTCTCCATGGAAGAAAAAAACTCTTAAGCAGGAAAGATAACTATGAGAAGCCAAATGACACAGAGACCACTCTGAGGCTAACGGCAGGAGGGTCACAGAGCCCGGGTTATGAAGCAAGGCCAAGTGGAAATTGCACACTGTGACCCCATGGTGTGATGGGGTGGTCTCTGCTGCACACCCGGGCATGGGGACATCTGTGAACCCAGGTAATTATGTTTACTCTTGCTCCTCTGCTTCTCTCCTGGGAAGGGAAGCTTGTTTTCATCTAAGGACTCTCTTTTTCAAATGTTTCATAATTTTGCCAAAGGCAAAAGCAGATCTGGCCCCTGCCCTTCTTCATACAGCAAGATGGGACTTCTCCCAGCAGCCCTGCCCTCCCTACCGGAGAGGCAAAGCTGTTCTGGTAACTGTCCTCTCTGTTCATCCCCCAGATTTCCATTCATGCCCCTACTCAAATGTCATCTTACCAAGGTGGCCTGGTCACGCGCTTTAAATGGGCAGTCCCCCTCCCCAGTGTCATGGTCCCATGGTCATGCCCTGTCCTTCTCCATAGCACATGTGTAGCACTGGTTCTAGGAATGTGTTCATGTGTTTTTCTTAAATTGCCTGTTTTCTGCTAGAAAGTGAGTTCCCTTAGGGCAGGATCTGCCACATCTCCAGTAGCTGGGACAGTGTCCAGACATTCTAGAATGTTTATTTCACAGGTGAGTGGATGGATTCTGAGTGCCGTGCTCTCAGGTGGTCTTCCCAAGTCCTCTGAGCCACCTTCATCACCATGATGGCCCTGACCACTTCCATCCCTAAACTCAGCTCCAGAGAGGATAAACACATCAGCTCTAATCTATTGGTAATTGCCTGAGACACTGCATTGAGACCGTTCTGAGGCCATTGTAAGGGCTCATCGGGAAGAGATATGGCAATTGATTAGTGATGTCTGTCATGGGACCACAGTAGAGGTAGATTAGATGTGCTGTGTACTTTTCATCTCAGCTGGGGACCAGCTGTCCCTCTCATTATGAAGACCACATTGGCTGGGGTCTGGGACAAATTCTGCTGTCTAATCCCTAGAATCATTTTCCTAGGCCCAATTATAGGTATGCAGTGGACTTCTGAATGTTTTTCCAGAGTGGTCCCTTGTCCCTCCATTGCTTAGAACTTTCCTGAACATTACCTAGCTTGTCTGTGGTCTGGTCTTCTGCTTGGCTAATCAGAGGCTGGTCCTGGTTCCATCTTCTCAGGCTTTGAGATTAGGTTCTCCACCCAAGAAATCCCTCTCCACAGCCAGGCATCACAATGCCAATGACACCATGGAGTCTTGTTACTAAGACCGTCTCTCTACCCCATGGGTCTCTTCGAAGTCTGTGCTTGAGTGTTGACACTGAGCTGGAGCACAGCTTCGGCTTGGGTATGGGTGAGCATTACTCTCCCTGGGGGCTGGTCATGGTCTCTGATAACTTTTCCTTCCTAGTCTCTGATCAAAGAATAAACTCAGCTCCTTCCCAGTCTCTGATCAAAGAATAAACTCAGCTGCCTCAGCTCCCCAGGTCATAGGCTAAGGATGGTGGCCTTGAGTGCTTCAATAAGTTTTCTGCTCATGTTCATGCCAACCTCCCTTGCATTTTTTTGTTCTAATCTTGCATCTTCCAAAAAGACCCCCAGCCTCAGTTCCAGCATCTGCAGCAGATACAGGCTGCAGCTGGGACCTGGGAACTGGGAAGAACTTTCTGCTTATGCTCTCCTATATCCATGAGGGAGACAAGGGCATAAATTGTTCTTCCTTATTTTTTTTTTTTTTTTTTTTTGGTATAGGGCACATGTACTCACCAGAAAGACAGAAAGAGATGGAGAGAGAGAAAAGGAGAACTCACTTCTCAGGGGGGGTGGTCACACCACAATCCCTTCTCCATTCTTCTCCTGGGATTTTGGGCATGCATGCACACTCACCCAGCCAGAGTTTCAAACCACCGGGTCTAGGACTCAAACTGCAGTCAGCCATATGAGAGTCCAGTATCTTAATCACTATGCGACCCGCTGGCCCATTCTTCCCATTTTTAAGATGAAGACACTGCAGTCCAAAGCACCCCTATGTGGTTACTCGCTGGGCCCTGCCTTGCTGCACCCTCCTCTCCTTCCCATGCTGCTGGTCATTTGGAATTCCTCTCAGCTCCCCTGGCTTCTGTCTGATAGAACAAGGCTCTGGCACAACATGGACAGATTTCTCTGCCTTCTCTCCAGGAAGGACAAGTACCTTCCTGAGGCTGGAGGTCTCCTCCCTTTCAGAGTTGAACAAATCCACTGTGAAAGGAGATCCAGGCTCTGGGTGCTCCACTAGAATCCTCTAGTGCCTCAGCTCCATCATGGCCCTGACCTTCCAGTCTTCTCCTGTCTGATGAGGTGACCATGTGGCATGGGGAAGGTAAATTATCCTGTCCCCTCTCAGCAGCCCTGAGGCACTGAGGCAGTGGAGTGCTCGTGCAGCCCCAGGTGCCCCAGCTGGGGTGCTTGAGAGGATCCTGAGGTCCAGGGAAA